GTTCTAATCAAACCTTTAAACAAATGTTTAAATTAAAACAGTTTATTCGCAATAATAATACTTAAGCAAGTAACAATATGAGAGCTCTAAAGCAGAGTAGATAGTTCGTAAAAGCAGGTTGCCAAATTACCAAACTGTCTTCCAATGTTGAGGAGTAGATGGAGGGTTCCAGGGGAGGTTGTTTCCAGGTGATCTTCTCAGGTCCTTGGGTCCAGATGGAAGCTGCATGCCGAATGAGAATAATGAAGATTTATATACTCTGAGGTTTGCCTCTGACATCCAATCATCACTTTACAGTTGCTGAAATGTGTATTTCATATTTATCTTTAGTAACAGGATGTTACAAGGTTCAACATTTAGGAAGGTTAATTGAATTATAACTTGGCGACACCCTAGGCAAGTTAATTAGATTATAACTTGGCCAAACCTTTATTGGTAATTAAAGATGAGCCTTGTTGCTGACTAATCAGACTTATGTTTGGCCAAGCATTTTCTTGCGTAGGTTTTAAGATGTACATGTATAAGTTGCATCAAATAATACAGTTCAAGAATGTAAAATATAATCAAAGTTGTACAATGTGGATATTTTCTGTCCCTTAATTTTAAGTATCAAAGACATGTTTTTTTGAAGATATAATCAATTATACATATAAAAGTAATACTTTTCTATAAAGTTTTATAAAGAAAAATTTTTTTTTACCAGTTCTTTTGACTGTTTTAATTTTGTGGACGTTTTCTGTCTGAACCCAAAAAAGAAACTTTTATTCAATTAGCCTATTACAAGAATAACATATTCGTTTGGGATACTTTTCTGAATATAGAAAGTTCAGATTATCCACGTATTTATAAATTGAGTGACATTCTAATTAAAAACACACAGGTCATTTATTAAAAGGCACTCCTTAAAAAGATTCACTGTAGGGAAATTGATAACCTTAATGGTGAATGTTTTCTTTCGGTTCATGGACGTTTTTCTTCATGGACGTTTTCTGTCGACCCCTAAATATTTACAAGAACTACAAATGTTCAATTGCTTGATCTTCTATTTTGCTTAGGGCCTCTTCTATGGACTAACCATATCAGGTGTCTTCTGTCATAATAGACACTTTGACCTGTCACTTTGATATTCATATGGGTGTCTAGTTGTTTCACAGCTTCATCTACTAATGCACAACGATCACCCATGTTACTGTACAACTTTGGTTATATTTTACATGCTATTCTCATTCTGCACCGCGTCTTCATCTGGACCCTAGGACCTGGGAAGATAACCTGGAAACACCTTCACTGGAACCATCCATCTACTCCTCAACATTGGAAGACAGTTTGGTAATTTGGCAACCTGCTATTGAACTCTCATATTACTACTTGCTTAAGTATTATTATTGCGAATAAACCGTTTTAATTTAAACATTAAATAAACCATATGCATCTTATCTCTCCCTATAAAGTTCTACAGCAATATAGTCAAAAATACCTGCCACTGGTGCTTCTGGTTTTTTTAGAGTTACTTTAATAGTCATTACTTTTTCAAATGCTTTAAAAATAGCTTCTGTAGTTTGTTCAGCCAAAGCTTCCATCAAGTTAATAGGAGGACCTTCTATTATGTTTTTAACCACATCATAGACCATTCCGTAGTGTACTGTATCTTGCACTCGATCACTTTTGACTGCCTTTTTAGGTCTACACCTAATTCTAAATCCACAAAGAATTTTTGACCCAGTGTATTTTCCTCTGACATGGCGCCATGGTAGCCATAAAAACCTAAATTTTTTAATATAATTTTATCCATTGTACGCATATATTTGTCAGCTATACTCTACAATAGAGAAGTAGTATTGAACCAGAATTATTTAAATGAAAACTGGTATAACTGAATAATAACCATAATAACCTTGAAACATATGGTTATAATTTCATTTGTTGCTTCAAACAACAGATTGAAGGATTTAAATTTCAAAACAATGGTTTTTCATTTTGTTTCCTTTGCTGCATGTAACAATATGATTAACAATTATTTTTCTTTCAATAAAAATTTCAATTGTAAATTAGGAATTGGGATTGGAATAGTTTTACACTATTTGCTTACAAAGGGAGAAAAAGTATATCTTTGCATTGAACATTCAGTAACTTAAATTTAGAATCTACAATGTTCAATTGAAAGAAAAAGCCAAAAGCATATGATTCAATTGCTGACTAAATGTTATTTTGAAACATCATGGAGATAGAGATGATTTCAAAGTTCATTGTAAGAAATGAAAATCATCTTCATAAGTTGCATAAAAACATGGAAAATGTTCTTCATTCAAGAATGGGCTTGAAAGAAATGGCAACTGGTGACAATGGAAAAACAGGTAAAGGAATAACAGAAGATATTATCTTAAAATTTAAAGATAATATTCTAGAGGACTTTCACTCTGATGATAATTATCTATTTTCTTTAATTTAATAAATAATTTTTGCTTGCTGACATCATGACAATCAGGACAATAATCTGCATCTTAATATATAACTGATTAGCATTAAACCCCAGAAAGTTAGAGATTTTACTTATATTTTGAACATTTTGCTTGATAAAAATGTCTGCACAACTTGTATCTGAATTTTCTTTGTGTCCAATGAAATTTGAATCCACACTTCCAACAGTTTTTCAAATTCATGTTGTGATTTCTATCAAAGCTTATATGAAAAATGAAAAAAAGAAACATATCTTCTAAATTTGTCAAAACAGGAAAAGGAAAAAACAATGTAAAATATAGTTTTGTAATAAGGAAAACTGGTATTCATTACTCTGAAAATATTTTGAATTTTATATTAATTCTTTTACAATATAAAACATAACATAATTATATTAATGGATGTTGATCATAAAGAAGTGATTTCTCTATTTAAACCACTGAATTGTGATGCACAGTCATTTAAATTGAAAGGAGAAGCAGATCTTATATCAGCTTTTTAAATAATGCTGTCAGAAGAGAAGATATTAAAATACTGTAGTGTTCTTGCCTAACCAATTTATAATTTATATTTATTCTTTCCCTGCTTCTAATTTATTGGATTCATTGGCTAGTCTTAATCTGCTACAATTCTCTTCAATTCTAAGATAAGGCTTCAACTCTTCTTAACAGTTTGTCAACTATTGATAAAAGAATTATTAATATGATTCATACAAAACTATTATACTATACAGGTGAGTCATGTCTTTAATATTCTCTCTAAAGGTAATACAGAAAAATAGCAATCGAGATGGAATTGTCTCTTATGAAATTGAAGAAGTTTATCAATTTTTACAGTTCACTTTTCAAAATAACACAATTTCCAATTTCTAACACTAGAGGAGAAATACCAATCACCTCTAATCTATTTAAAAATCCAAATCTACCATTTGAACTTCAAACGCAAAGATTATACACAATACAAATCCTCAATCAGTTGTACAGTGTTTAATAAATTATTGGAGAACATCAAATGTTTTAACTAGGATTATTAATGGTATTTCAAAAAGCTATTACCATCAATTTTGGCTCCACTACCCTTAATTCTCAACATTAATTCATTTATTTTATTAAGATACTCATCTATTTCCTTTGCTCTGGTTTTCTCCCTTTCATAAACCAAAATATCATTCCTTAAAGTTGAATTGTGGGCTGTTGACTGTGCCATATTTGTACTTTGTTGTATTGTAATTGTAGGAATTTACAAAGAATCAGGCAAAGAACAGATCTCACCTCTAAAGATTGTAAATGGAGAAAAGAATATTGTCTCAAAATGATTAGCAAAAATCTAGACTGGTCTAGAGTAATTTTTACCAATGAGGCTAGATTCTTGCCAAGTGGACCTGATGACTTTTAAATGTGGACTAACAATAGTGAAAAGGACTTTAGGGTGACAAAAATATGGGGAGAGGAGGAGTATTGGTCTGGGGGTTGATAACATCTGGTGGCATATTCAAAGTATGGAGGATAAAGAAAAGATTGAATGCAGAAATTTATAGCTCCTTCATTTTGGAAGATGTTCTTCCTGTCACAGAAGAGATTGAGACAAAAATGGGCAGGAAGTATAAAATCAAGACCATTGATTGGCTAGAAAGGAGTCCTGACCTGAGCCTGATCGAAAACATGTGGCACCTAACAAAAACAATGGTCTATGATGGGCCACAGTTTGAGTCAGAGGATGAATTATGGAAAAAAATTAGGAAAAGCTGCTATGAGCTTATAAAGAAGAATCCAGAGTTGCTTCCAAATTTGTATGATGGAATGGGCCATAGGATTAGTAAATACATTGAAAGAAAGGGTCAGCACATACAAAGATAAAGGAAATTTTAACTCAAAAGATTATGTGCCAATAATCATGTCATTTGGCCGAATAAGAAAAAAATCATAAAACAATAGTAATTTTTATAAAAAAAAATATGTAAAAACTTACCTACATTAAATAATTTATAAAATTCAGAAATTTTAATTACTTATTTAGGAATATTCTCTCCTGCTATGAACAGTTTTTTCTTCCTGATTTTAAATTATTTAATGTATGGAAGAATTTTATTATTATATTATAAATGAATAAATATCACTAACAAAAGAAATTTGATTTTCTTTGACTGTCAGCTACTAAATAAAACAGTTACTGTTTGATGTTGGCTTTTCCTTTGTTTTATTTGGCTATTTCACAATATGAATTCTGTAAACTATTGAAACAAAATACTTCAACAAAGCATGCTTTTGAAATATATTCAAGAAACTTAACTCATGGAAAATTTAACCATAATATCTCAATTGTTCATTGAGTCATTCTATTAAAGTAAAATTTGCAAAACAAATTGAATTGTTGGTATACATTTATTTAATATATTGCTTAGCATAAATGTGACATTTACATCATAGTGCTCTAATTATTTTTAATCATGTTAGGTGATTATATTTATGTTATACCTTGGTAACAATTTCACACAACCTAAATGGCTTTGAAGATTCTTTTAAAAAAATTTTTAAATTAACAAATTATGTTGATGGACAAAAAAACTTGTAATTTTCTTTTTCTTTGCACAATACAGAATTTTTATCATAGGCAAAAAATTCAGGATTATTTTCTTCAATATTCTCTCCATAAATTTGAAATTCTACAAAGTTAGTCAAAGTTTCAATTGTCAGATGGAGAATCTTGCCAATTAAAGTTACACAAGTAGCAGTTTTAGAGTCAACTAGTTCCAATTTAATTTTCTTCCACTTTTCCTGATTACACCAACATTTTTCAAATGGAAATTCTATTGAAACCATAACCAGTTGAAACATGCATTCCAGTTTTTTAATTGAATATTCTACTTTCTCAACAGTAAGCCCAAGGTCACCAAGTACAATTGTCTTTAATGGTAGACTGTGTGATTTTACAGAGAAAGTTCCACTAAAATCTACCCACTTGTTATCAGGTGTGCCATAACATTCTGCATTTACATTTGACTCTTCTTTACATCTAATGTCAGTAAAACATTTGCAAATTCCATCAGGAAAATTATTTCCAAGTCTATAAATATTATCCCAGAAAATATAGGCGTGATGAAAAATGAAAGAGTAAAATGACCAGAATGTTATATCTTGTGTACATGTTGAAATAGTTTTTAAAAACTGATTAACACCTTCTTCAGAAAGGTTCTCATACACAATATCTTTTGAATAAGATAGAGGATCACTATATTGACCATCATCCATGAGAGTCATCTCTTCAGAATTGTTGTCAAGATAAGCTTTTCCCAATATACTATTGTAGTTTTCACATAAAATATCAGCAATTTCTCCTTTAAAAGATGTTTGTATTTTAAATGTTAATTGCAGAATTTTGTTTTGTTTTAAGTAAAGCTTCTAAACAAGATGTGTAAATATCATCTGTAGACAAGGATAGTGTGAATTGTAGGTAGAAATAAGCACAGAAAAGTAGATGTTGCATTCTGAGAGGAATTGTTGTAGCAGAGACCATGAAATACAAGAATGCAACTACCTCTTGGTCTTTCATATTTTTAAATTTATTTAGAGACGAGTGTAAAGTAATTAATCATTTATTCAAAAAATTTTGTATTTTATGGGTTAGCACACAACTGAAGGATGAAGTTCTAGAATAATTGATGACAAATCTTTTCTTTCTTATGATCTTTTGTTCTATAAAAACAAGAGACACAGCCATCTTATTTCCATATAAACCCAATCTATTATGCATTTCCATGTCCAAGGATTTTTTTGGTAGATATTAGATTATTCATAATGTTAATTATTTCAACTAAGCAAGCATGTACACATTTGGGGGTTTTGTATTAAAACAGGAAAAGGAAATTGTATACATATATTATCTTTTGTTATTGTCTCTTTTATACCAAAGCTTTTCAAATGGCAAAATTTAATTGCTTTTGCCATACTTCTTAAACATTTCACATATTGATATTTGTAATAAAACATTTTATCAATTTCTAGCCTTATTATTTCATTTTCAATATTAAAGTATCCAAGAAAATGTGGTAATTTATCAATTAATTTTACACCTTTAATATTAATAAAAACAAATGTAATATGTAAAAAATTTTTATTTAAAAGAAATACCTTTATCATTATATAGTTGAGTAATTTTATCTTCAATTTCAGAATAGCTTGAAAAGAGATTTAAATATAAGTGAAAAAAAAATGGAGATTTAAATTCTTTATTAAATTAACCTTACTCTACCAATGACTTATACTCAAATATTTTACTTTTCACAAACAATTATTATTAATAATTTGTGGTATTTAAAAACAGCATTATGATGATCTCTGTCTATTTTTGTGTGTTGGAACCAATCCAACATTTACCAAAAATTGTTACATCTTATGCAGTTTTCTGACCCACTGACAACAGTTTTCCTTAACAAAGCAAAGTTAACAAATATGGAACCATATTTGAACTTTCCTTTTATCCATAATGATACATTTGTTTTGTGTAGATATTTTTATCTGTGAACTGTCAACTTTTGGAAAAGTATATAAAGCCTATGAATTTATCAGTAGGCAGTTCAGTTTTCTAACAGCTAACTTTGTGTTAAAACTTGCTTGTTTAGAACTAGAAACTCATTTACTCAATAAATACTCTTTGAACAAAATACTGGTGTTTTGTTGGTAAATTTCTTGTAAATTTTCATTTGTTGAGACAACTTGTGGACGAACTTGAAAGGTTCTATTTGGACCAGAACTTTGGTACATTGGTAAATGATTGGTGAGGACGAATTCGAATTTGATAAGCTAGAGATTCCTACAATTACAATACAACAAAGTACAGTTGTGGAGTAAATTTGAAGAAAGAGAATTGAGTTTGGATGAATTATTGGATAGACTTGTTGATTTAAATATCTGTAAAATTTGTTATTTCTTGTTCTGCATTTTAGTTATAAAACTCAACACTCCTTACTATTTGTAAATTGTTTTTTATATTAAAAAAATAAACATAATAGTTCACAAAATAAAAATTATATTTGTCATATTTATCAATTCATAAGTACAAAACCTATCTTCAAGTGAGACAATGCCTTTAGTATGATTACCTTAGAATGGGCCGAAATGTCCAAAAGTGGGTCGAACTGTCCTGGGCCGAAATGTCCTGATCCCTACAATATACACTGAGGAGTAACATTGATTGGTAATTTTCAAATGAAGTCATCAGAATTAATACTGCTCTTGTTAGAAATTTGAAGAAAGAGAACTTTCAATGCAAACTGATTTTTAAGAAATATCCTATTTGAAATTAAAAAGAAACCCTTGTTTATGCATTTAGAAAGAAACAGATCTTTAAAAGACACTTTTTTCAAAATGATTATTAGCTTTAGTTTAAAATTTATACTTACTATATATTTCAAGTAGATTGATAACAAAAATGACAAAAACTCAATCTTGTTTTCAATGTATTAAATTGCATTTAATGGATATCTAAAATGTTTGTAAAATAATGTTTTATAGAGATATGTTCAAAAATTGATCTATACAAATAGAATGCTTTTTTCAAACATATTTCTCTTTCTATTTGTTGTTTTACCAAAATTTTTATTTGTTATTTCCTTAAGATGTAAAAGAGAAATAATTTACACTACTGTACTCAAAAATGAGAAATATTTTAAATTTTCTCTCAATCCTATTGAAGAAAAAGAACATTCTATTTATGGAAATTTAAGGCTTAGAACCATTTCAAATAATCAAACAGAAACGCTTGGCTTTCAATTTGACATTTCTCCAAAATATATTAAACGTATTTGTTCATCAATGGGATATGATACAATACATTATATATTGCAAGGTTGCATAAATTCTAAAGGTATCATTATTTCTTATGTTTTTATTAAAAAACAAATAATTTCTTTCTAAATTTATTAGAAAAAATAACTGGCTTTCTTAAAGTCAGAAAAAAAAATTTCAATTTGTAAGTATTTTTAACAATACTGATGACAACTGGTAGAAAAAAATTAGAAGGTCCAAGTTGTTTTTCCCAATAGCTATAAAGTCAAAGAGATAGATGAAAAAACTGGTTTAATCTGCTTGAAATGTTTTAAAATTAAACAGCCATGTATCAATCAATCAGTTATTATTGATTTACTTAAGCCTACTAATTTTTTTGTTTACAGATCTATTTGCTGCCAGTCTGGACAGAGAAACTAACTTTATTCTGTACACGAGATATCGGAAGAGAACATTTAGGTTCTTTTATCAAAAAATACTGGCAAAGGAAGCCCTGTGTAGGAAAAGTGAATTTTTTATAAAAGATTTCAAATTAGATGAATTAGATAATCATTCTATTAGTTTTTTAAATTTAAACCATAAAAATGTAACATTTCAAAATTATTCCAAGGACTTTCAACAAGCAAGAGTTGTATGTAAATTTACAGATTTGAATGGTAAAATTTACTTTATATTGACAAAGAATTTTAATAAAAAGTTCCTAAAACTTGTCTCTTTTCTTCATAGATTTTGTTATTGAAAAGTATTCTGGTCATTTGAATAGAATTCTCTTTGGAGAGATTATCCTCTCTGAATCATCATTCTATGTAATTAACTCTAAAACAATGGGACATAATCCAATTACTTATATAAATTCAAAAGAAATAACAAAAATAGCACTATCTTTGACCAAAGCCAGTTCCAAAGTACTCAGTCCAATTTACAAAACAGGCTTATACAAGAATTATGTATTTTTTAAATAGTTTTAAATTCTATCCTATCCATTATTGCATTTAAATCAATACTATTAACAAAACAGGTTCTAAAATACTATTATTGTACAAGGACTATTACAGTAGTTAACAATCTGAGACTTCCAACAATGATTGGTTGTAATTTAACTGAATACAATTTAAAAACATGTAATTTAAAATTAGAATATACAAATGTAAAGTTATTGTTTGTAATGTATGAGAAGAAAATCCATAAAAGTTTGTAACTGTATATTTTAATAGATTTTTTAAAAATGATTTATTGAGTATTTTTCTACAGATTTCCATTATAGAATTTATAAAGATAAAGATAATATTTTGAATTTTGGTGACAAACATAATTTTAATGAATTTAGTGGAAATTTACAAATATTTTACAATAATTTGTGGTTTCAACCCGTATTTGATACTTTCCGTTTAAAACATTTAATCAGCCTATGTAAGACACTCGGTTTTCAATCGGCAACAATTTTTGAATATTTGACAAACATAAATATGTTTACATTCAATTACGCAATAATGAAATGTAGCGATATTTCGTATATAAATTCTGTACAATGTTCTTTTTCACTTATTGGCAACATTTCAAATAATATACTCAATCCGAAATATCAACATTTGTTTGACAAACTGAACTCTGGTCATATGAATATTGAATGTAAATTGAATAGAACAAGATGGTGTATTGATAAAGAGGCATTTTTGTATCAAAGTCTCTGTTACATTTATATAAGTATGAAGAGGAAATTATCAATTGATAATACTGAAGAGTATTGTAAAAGTAGAAATAGTACTCTTGGACATTTATCCTTCAAAAATTATCAATTTCTAATCAATTTGGAAAGTTTAAGAATGATGTCAATGTTTAATGTGAAACCTTTTAGAAATAAATTAATATTAGCCGGAAGTAAAAAAAAAAAAACATGGATGATAGATTTTTTCTTTTTTATAATTCAATATTTTTTTTTTCAAAAAAATGACAAGAATTGAAGAGGATAAAAGATAGAAGAAATAATATTGTAACAGCTCATTTAGATAATAAACCTTTTGAATTTACATCATTTCAACCAAGGTAGAGATAATTAGTATTGTAAATACAAACATACTCTTTTTTTGTGGTTAAATCTCAGTCAACTTGAATTGTGTGCTCAAGTTCAATCTCATCTTATTCAAAAGCCAACAGTATCAAAAGTATCATCTTGTTTCTACTACCAGTTTTCATCAGCTGTATCAAAAATTGTACAATACGATTTCCTCCAGTCTTTGGTTAAAAGTAAAACCTATAATATCCATCCTGCAGAATGTCATACAAAGGAAATTACAGCAATTAACTGCATTACTCCAGCAGGTTTTGAAAAAACCTTGAGAAAGAATTTATTGAAAATCTTTTCAAAACTATAATTTTTACAGAAACAGAAACTTTTGATTTAGGAAATTTACTTGAGTACAATCAATCAAAAAATCATTCCAATCATCATTTATTCCACTGTTTGGAGGATGATGTATATATTAATGGTATTTATCAATGCGACGGAAATAATGATTGTATATCCGGTGAGGATGAGAAATATTGTCCAATTATTGAAGAGTATCAATGCGAAGATGGTAAAAAAATTAACTACAAACACCTATGTGATCATATCATAGATTGTCTTAATGGAGATGATGAGAGAGATTGCAGTAAAACTTTTCATATTTAAAAATTCAAATATAAAAAAAAAATATTTCCTTTTTTTATGATTAAGAATGGAAAGAATGCAATCAGGGGAAGAGGTTTATATTTCAA